GCTCTGCCACAGTGCTGCGATAACCACTGTGCGATTGTTCACTGCGTTGTGATGATAATTGTTCAGGTACTTTTTAACCGTGATTAGATTTTGGGGAATTGTTCAGGTACTTTTTTAACAGTTAATAGATTTTTGGGAATTGTTCAGGTACTTTTTTAATAGTTAATAGATTTTTGGGTCTTGGTTGTTCATCGGAAGGTTTGTTCAAATTGTGCCATGCCCGACTCGGTGAATTTTCATAAATACAGATGCAGAAATAAGGGCATGTCTGTCTATATATCTGATAGATAGACATTGAACTATCTATTTGCTGGGTTGATGTGCATGTCTAGACTGATGAATATCCATTTATTTCTTTATTTATGCAAGTATACGAATATTCTTTGGTTCAGGCCTCGCGCAATTCTTATAGACCGAGAGTTAGTCTATCCAAGTTATCTACCAATTATACCAAGTACTACTAAGTTATCTACGATCTCCTTCCCCATCTTCCTACTCCTATTTCTTCCTCCCTCTTCGTCTCTCCCATTCTCCCTCTCTCTCTCTCTCTCTTTCCCTTTCACTTTTCCTTCCCTCTCCTTCTCTCCCTATCCCTTTTCATTTCCCCTCCCTGTCCCTCTCCAACTCTCTCCCTCCCTCTCCTCTCCCCTCCCCCACCTCTTCCTTTCCCTCCCCCTCTCCTTTCTCCTACCCCACTTCTCCTTCCTCTTCCCCACTTCTCACATCCTATCCTTTCCCTCTCCTCTCTCCTCTTTCCTCTTCTCCATCCCACCTCTCCGTCTCCTCTCCCATCCCCTCCTCTTCCCCCTCTTCTTCTCCTCTCTGATCTCCCTCTCCTCTCCTCTTTCCTTCCCTCCTCTCGGTCTCCCCTCACATCCCTCCCAACCTCCCCTCCCCCTCCCCTCCTCCTCCCTCCCCATCCCACTTCTCATCTCCCCTCCCCTCCCCTCCCCTCTCCCCTCCATCCCTTCCTCTCTCCCACCCCCCAGCAGTGGACCGATGAGCAATAAATGCGATTTCAAACAAACCTCCATTTTTCTCTCCCTCTCAACCGCCCGGGGCTTCCTTTCATAATTCCCGGCCCTTCGCGTCCTGCACGTCTATCCGGCGACTATCCTTCCGAGAGGTATGGGGGGGGAGGGAGGGGGAGGGAAGAGGGAAAGGATAAGCTCCTGCGGAAGGAAAGGAAAAGTGAAAAAGTGGGGGAAAAAATGTGGTGCACCGTTTCATGCTCTCTCTCGGTGGTTGCGTTCGTCTGACATTTTTTGAAAACGCGTTTTTTTTTTGTTTGTTTTTATTATTCTGTTTATTTTTTTATTATTCTTATTTTAAAATTCGTTTTGTATTATTGTGTGTGTGTGTTTTCTGTAATCCATTTTTTTCATGTCTGTGTCCTGTGGTTTTTGTCTTTTTTTTTTACTTTTCTTTTCGTATTTCTGTTTAATTTTTTTCTCTGTCTTTCTTTCCCTTTTTGTTGTTATTATTTCCTTTTGATCTATTTAATTCATTTTGACTGGTTCTCTTTCTTCTTTTTGCTGATTCTTCTCTTTCTGTTCCTGAATTCCTGTCTCTCTCTCTCTCTCTCTCTCTCTCTCTCTCTCTTTCTCTCTCTCTCTTCTCTCTCTTCTTCTCTCTCTCTCTCTCTCTCTCTCTCCTCTCTCTCTCTCTCTCTCTCTCTCTCTCTCTCTCTCTCTCTCTCTCTCTCTCTCTCTCTCTCTCTCTCTCTCTCTCTCCTCTCTCTCTCTCTCTCTCTCTCCTCTCCCTCTCCTCTCTCTCTCTCTCCCTCTCCCTCTCCCTCTCCCTCTTCCTCTCCCTCCCTCCCTCCCTCCCTCTCTCCCTCTCTCCCTTCCTCCTTCCCTCACCCTCTCCCTCTCTTTCTTTCTTTCTCTCCCTCCCTCCTCTCTACCTCCTCCTCCTTCTCTCACCCTCTCTCCCTCCCATCCACCCTCCCTCCTCCTCCCTCCCTCTTCATTCTCTCTCTCTTATCATTTCAATTTCTGCTCCTATCGTTCTCAACATCTCTTATCGCCGATCGCCATCTCCATCTTCTCCCTTACTTATTATCACCCCTTTATTTTCTATCTCTCCATCTCCGTCTAATCCTTGGTGATTTTCTCTCGGGGTCAAAGGTCAGCCTCTCTGGAGATATGGAGGTCAGGCCTTGTGGTGTCTTGGCCGTTCTTGGTCAAATTAACGGTGTCTCTTTATCTGTTTATCTGATTATCTCTCTCTTTCTTTCTCTTTTTCTTTCTTTTTCATCCTTATTCTCTCTTCTTTTTTTGTTCTTTGACTTTTTTCTGTCGGTCTCCTTTTCTTCTTGTATTTCTGCTCTCTTTTTCTTGGTTCTCTCTCTCTCTCTCTCTCTCTCTCTCTCTCTCTCTCTCTCTCTCTCTCTCTCTCTCTCTCTCTCTCTCTATTCTCTCCTCTCTCTCTCTCTCTCTCTCTCTCTCTCTCTCTCACTCTCTCTCTCCTCTCTCTCTCTCTGCTCCCTCTCCTCCTCCTCTCCCTCTCTCTCTCCTCTCCCTCCTCCCTCCCCTCCTCCCTCTCCTCCCCTCCCTCTCCTCCAATATCTCGTCATCTACCTATCTATCTACATTCATCCCCCCTATATATTTTATCTATCTTCATTCACCCATCG